TAGTAGATATACACCAATTTGAAAAGTCCTGCTCCTGGGGGTTCAACAATTGTGTCTAGAAAATACCAGGTTGGCTGGCATTCTTAGGGGTAAAGGGTTAATTGTGTCATGATTAGATTTCCTGAGTAACTCTGGATTTACTATGAAATGGCTGTTAATGCCAGCCATATCGGTATATATGTGATATCTCTCTATCTCTACACCTCTATCTATCTACCTCTACCAGTGCCTTCTAAAGCAAAGCTCAAAGAATGAAACAGGATCCTCGCTGGTGTTGCCAAGACCTCATAGCCTGTTGGATTAGTTCTACTCATTGGATCTTAGGACAGAAATAGAGTGTCAACAGTTGAAAGATAGAGACTGGGAGTTACATTTTGTCCTAAAATCCTGATAAAGATTTGTTTTTTGGTTATTTTTCTCCTTCTTCCAAAATGATAATGACACAAAAGAGGCAATTAAGCATGTGGCTGGCTTAGCTGCAGTGACAGTTTGCTGCATTTGTGTCACTTAGTTGCTGGATTGTCTTTTCATATCTCATGTCTACGTGTGCCAAGGTGTGGACTAGTACATGCTTATCTTAAAGCAGCGTCAAATTCTGGAAGAACCAGCTTTGCCACCAGTCTCTCTGTGACTTTTGTTTGTTTGTTTCTAAGAGGGTTGAGGAAGGAGGAGGGAGGAGTCCTTGTGTCTCTTGCCATCTTTATGGATGCTCACAGCCTTGGTGGTCTCATCTACTCTCATGGTTTTAAATACTATCTGCACGGATGGTGATATAAGATGGCAACCACCACTTGGGAATAAAAGTTCCTTACATTTTCTGATAGTTGGAAGAACTCAAAGAAGTTTAGAAAGGAGTAAGCGATGGCACAGTTAGGTGTGGTTGAGGGGATGATGAAGACATGACACTTAGAAGATGATCAGGGACAATCACTGGGCCTCCCAGGACAATTCATGAAAACCAACCAGAGAGCCTTAAAATAAAATGTAGACCTAAATGCCCAGAAGCATCTCCACCCCTTTGTAAGATTTGTAACAAAAATTAATATGATTGGAGAATGGAGTTAATAGCTCTGCTAGTCAATCTACAAGCTATTATCAGTGCTAACAAAATGGCAGAATTAACAGAGCATCAGAGTTGTCCTACAAGAGCTTTTATGATTAATGATGTGTAAAGAAAACATGAAACTCTCTCAGCTGCATGAAGAAGAGGAAAGAATCAAAAAGAAAACTGTTGGTCTCTCCCCTTCCCCCATTTGATTTAAGCAGTCTTTATTCTCCACAGCAGTAAGTTTTCTAGATACGCCTGTAGACCTCAAAGTATGGAGAAGGAAGGTCCCGTCCAAAGGCAGTTTGTCTTAAGATACTATAAATGACACTAAGTTTTTGCCCATTTGCAATATATAAATTGTGCCATAACAAAAATTAAAATAAATAAATAAATACCATTAAAAGAAAAACTTTAGATAAAGTTAGCAGGATTTATCTGAGCAAAGAATGATTTGTGGGTCAGCAGCAGTCAGAACGAGAGGAGGTTCAGAGAGCTCTGCCCCAGCAGTGTAAGCAGTGAGGTTGGTAGGATGAATATGGAAGCAAAGTAGAGAAATTAATGGGTCAGCTCCAGCTTCATTTGGGATCTGGTGTGAAGATGTGTTTGCTTTATTTGGATATGGTCCCATGGGAAGTCCCTTAGTTGTATAACCAGTTAGCTACTGTATTTCTCCAAAAATAAGACACTGTCTTATATTTATTTTTTCTCAAGAAGACACACTAGGGCTTATTTTCAGGGAATGTCTCTCTCCGTGCCAAAATGCATGACATGGCTATGCAGATACACTGCATAGCCATGGCCATCACTAGGTCTTATTATTGGGGTAGGGGTTATATTTAACAAATGCATAGAAATCCCGCTAGGGCTTATTTGGGGGGTAGGTCTTATTTTCAGGGAAACATGGTAGTTGGCTGTTTGTGATTGGTTGAGGCTTGTGTTCTAAAATTTTAGTTTCAAACCAGCTACAATAATACAAAACTTACTAGGTTGTTACAGAACATCTGGACCCAAACTGTGTTTCTAGTTAATGAAATAAGATTATCTGTCCAGATGTCTAAAGCCTTTTATAAATATTTATGGAAAAGGACTCTTGATAGTTCTCATTTGCTTTTCATAAAGAGTCTTTTAGAAAGATAATTTTTGATTCATTTAGTCTTGTAGAAGCCCCTGCCCGCCAATCAAAAGGACATATCACTATTTCTGAGGCATTTTGAAACCTTTCTTTTCCAGTGCACCTTGCAAGTTAAAACTTCTCTGTTGCTGTAATTCTAAGTGTCCTTTGTAAGATTAACCCATTTTTTTTCCAAAAATGCACAGGTTTGGGGACAATAAATTTTGCACATAAAATTAGCCAAGTTCTCAAAAAATGGAGTTCCAGACTCCCAGGGTCTCACATTCCGTAAATCTAGAGATGGCCACTTACAAAGCCCCAAACTGGATTCGGTACAGTTAGTTATCAGATCCAGTCTGATTCTGGACCTAGCCTAGTAGAACAATTGTTCAAATTAAGTTAGCGAGTTCAAAATGCAAATTTGCAGAGCTCAAATCGAAGAAGGAATCAATATTTTCTTAAAAATAATAAGAAGGAATGCACCATGACCACCAGTGGTAGCAAGAAAGCAATGGGCAAATGGGTCTGGTGGGTACTTTTGCTTGGTCACTAGAAGTCTCCTTTACATCCCACTTCTGACACAAAATTGTTAAAAGAAAAATCTTTAGACAAACTTAACAGAGCTTTTATGTGAGTAAATAGTTCATGAATTGAGAAGCACTCAGAACTTAGAGAGGTACAGAGTGCTCTACTCTAGGACTGTGAGCAGCAAGATTTTATAAGAACATGGATGCAAAATTTCCTGATTGGGTATGGTCTGATGGCAGGTCCCTAGTTTTATAAACAACTGGTTGTATATGCTGAGGATTTTTTTCCTCCCCAAAGCCAGTTCTAAGAAATGTTTAAGTTCTAGTTTGCTTATATAAAATCCCAGTTACCAAGACAATTTTGGGCTAGTGGCCTCCTTCTTATTTGCTTTAAATATATGTATATATATATATATATATATATATATATAAAAAGTAAAACAGTTGTGACAAATGTCAAATGAGTGACCCAGCTAATAATATGAGGAGACTTAAGAGGAAGGAAGACCAGGAAGGGCCCATGTTGCTAGGGAGGAAACCATAGGTAAACCATAGGAATCCGATCTTAAAAGAAGAAAGTATGAGACAAGCACAGAAGTGGGAAGGCATTTTATTTAGGTGAGAGCTTTGCCTTCTTCAGTAACTTTGCAGATAAGACTCCCAGCTTTGCAAATGCAAAAGCCACAGAGCATGCTCTGATTCCTATCTCAGCTTCTGCCTTTGGCTTGTTGCCATTCAACTATGCTGAAGAAAAATGTACATCCACTTTCCAAGTGTCCTGGTCACCACCAGGCTATGATCCTCTCCAAGCTATGGTCACCTCCAAGCTATGGTCACCTCTAAGCTATGGTCACCTCCAAGCTATGGTCACCACCAGGCTATGGTAACCACCAGGCTATGGTCACCACCAGGCTATGGTCACTTTCAGGCTATGGTCACCACCAGGCTATGGTCACCTTCAAGCTATGGTCACCACCAGGCTATGGTCACCTCCAAACTATGGTCACCTCCAGGCTATGGTCACCACCAGGCTATGGTCCTCTCCAAGCTATGGTCACCTCCGAGCTATGGTCACCACCAGACTATAGTCACCACCAAGCTATGGTCACCTTCAAGCTATGGTTAGCTCCAGGCTATGGTCATCACCAGGCTATGTTACCTCCAGGCTGTGGTCACCTCCAAGATATGGTAACCTCTAAGCTATGGTCACCTCCAGACTATGGTCACCTCCAAGCTATGGTCACCACCAGGCTATCATCACCTCCAAGCTATGGTCACCTTCAAGCTAAGATCACCTCCAAGCTATGGTCACCTTCAAGCTATGGTCACTTCTAGGTTATGGTCATCTCCAAGCTATGGTCACCTCCAGGTTATGGTCACCACCAGGCTATGGTCAACTCCAAGCTATGGTAACTTTCAAGCTATGGTCAGCTCCAGGATATGGTCACCTCCAGGCTATGATCACCACCAGGCTCTGGTCACCTCTAAGCTATGGTCACCACCAGGCTATGGTCACCTCCAAGTTATGGTCACCTTCAAGCTGTGGTCAGCACCAGGCTATGGTCACTTTCAGGCTTATGGTCACCTCCAAGCTATGGTTACCTCCAAGCTATGGTCACCTCTAAGCTATGGTCACCTCCAAGCTATGGTAACCTCCAAGCTACGGTCACCTCCAAGCTATGGTCACCTCCAAGGTATGGTCACCTCCAGGCTATGGTCAGCTCCAGGGTATGATCATTTCTATTGCCATCTAACAACTCAGAGAAACACTCACACTTCCTAGTGCTGTGGAAGATTGTAATTTAGGAGACAGAGAGTCTAATTTAGACAACCAGAATACACAATCCAGAGTAATTGATCTTGAGATTAATTATCTATCTTCAATAGATAAGGCAGTAATAGCTCTTTTAAAGGGATTTCTGCCTAGTAGTTCAATACAGTTGAAATTTATAGATAACTAAAGTCTAAGGTTTTTAAAAATTTTTGTATTTATTTTTTTCCCACACAAACATGGAACCTTTATTTTTATTTTTTTATTTTTTATTTTTATTTTTTGAGACAGAGCCTCAAGCTGTCCCCCTGGGTAGAGTGCCGTGGCATTACAGCTCACAGCATCCTCCAACTCCTGGGCTCAAGCGAATCTCCTGCCTCCGCCTCCCAAGTAGCTGGGACCACAGGCGCCCGCCACAACGCCCGGCTATTTTTTGGTTGCAGCCGTCATTGTTGTTTGGCGGGTCCGGGCTGGGGATGCGAACCCGCCACCTTAGGTGTACGTGGCTGGCACCTTAGCCGGTTGAGCTATAGGCGCTGAACCGGAACCTTTATTTTTAACGTGATTTATGTACAATGGGAGTATGACAGTAATACTTTTACAAATGAAAATGATTTACTAGAAGAAACAATGACAAAACCAAATCAGTAGCTGATATAAATCCATAGCAATTTATACTTCAAATCCAGCCAAGAGGTTTGTTACAATCTCTTTCAGCCTTGCATCTGACTCTTCCAAGATCTTTCCATCAGCCCTGATAATGCCCAACAGGGCTTGGTGTTGGCTGACAACATGAGACAAGAAAGCATTCTCAAACTTTGTGGTCTTGCTGGGCTCCAGTTTATCAAGATACTCTCTTGATACTCTCTTATGCCTGCATAGATCACAGCCACTTGTTCTTCAATAGCCATAGGAGCATATTGTCCTTGCTTCAGCAATACAGTTGAATGCACACCACGACTCAAGAATTGTTGCATGGCAACATCAAGGTCAGAACCAAACTGGGCAAAAGAAACAACCTCATGATATTGAGCCAATTCCAGCTTCATGGTACCTGCCACCTGCTTCATTGCCCTGGTTTGGGCAGCAGATCCAACACGAGACACAGACAAACCAACATTAATGGCAGGGCGGATACCCTTGAAGAACAATTCTGTTTCCAAGAAGATCTGTCCATCAATGACGGAAATGATGTTTGTTGGAATGTAAGCAGACACATCACCAGCCTGTGTTTCTATAACTGGTAAAGCAGTCAAAGAGCCACCACCAAAAGAATCATTCATTTTGGCTGCTCTCTCCAGCAACTGGGAGTGTAGGGAGAATACATCACGATCGTGTAGAATAGGCCTCATGATCAGGAGGTCAGCAGAGCAACAGAGACATCTGACGGCAAGCAGCAGCCTGTTTAGATAAGTCGTCATAGATAATCAAAGCATGTTTGCCATTATCTCTAAAATACTCTCCCATGGAACAGCCAGAGTAAGGAGCCAGGTACTGCAGTAGGGCAGCATCAGAAGCTGTAGCTGACACCACAGTGGTGTACTTCATGGCATCTGCATCTGTAAGTCTCTTCAACTGGGCAACAGTGGATCTCTTCTGACCAGTAGCAACATAGTTACAATATAGCTTTTTCTTTTCACCAGATCCATCATTAAATCGTTTCTGGTTAATGATTGTGCTAATAGCAATTGAAATTTTCCCAGTCTGTCTGTCACCAATAATGAGCTCACGCTGACCACGACTAATTGGCATCAAGCTATCCACAGCCTTAATGCCAGTCTGCATTGGTTCCTGCACAGAGACTCAAGGAATGATTCCAGGGGCTTTCAGGCCAACTCTTCTCTGGGTCTTAGAACCAACTGGACCCTTTCCATCAATGGTATTGCCAAGCGCATCTACCACATGATCCAACAGCTCCTCTCCAACTGGAACATCCACGATGGCTCCTGTCCTCTTCCCAATATCTCCTTCCTTAATTCCTTCCTTATCTCACTTATCATTTCCAAACACAACAACACCAACATTGTCAACTTCCAAGTTCAGACACATACTCTTTAAGCCTGAAGAAAATTCTACCATTTCTTCTGCTTGAACATTCCTCCGCCCACGTACTCCGGCAATACCCTCACCAATACTTAAGACACGCCCAGTCTCCTCAAGGTCAACAAAGGTATCGGCTCCAAGAATACGCTCTTCAAGAATAGATGACATCCCGGCAGTGCCAGTCTTCTGAAGATGAGTGTGAGAGGCATGGAGGTTCCTTGCAGCAATGAAAGATGAACCCAAAGCATTTTTGGAGACCAGCCCCGCCCACCAAGGGAGGGTGCCGTCCACAGTCGCACCTATGCTCACAGACAGCATCTTTGCAGTTTCTCCATGAGGAGCTTATCTGCAGCCACAGCCGCAGACTGACTGGGACCAAGTCTATGGTTTTTAAACAACAAAGCTCAGAAACCTATGTGGTGGGTCCACTGTGGACTGATTGACAGTATAAGTTAGCTGCTGGTGACTGAGGCTAGACGGATACTGAGCTGCTCACAAAATGCCTCTGAGTATTTCATGGTTTCTCTGATGCACCTGTTTCAATACCTTTCTTTTTCTTTCTTCCATTTTTGCGTCTCTAACTTCATTTTTTCATTCTGAATTCTTATTTCTAATTTTCTATAAGCCGGGATTCAAGATGAAGTAAGTTATTTTGATTATTATTTTAAAAAACAAAGTCTTTCTAGAAAAATTCACTTGTACCCTTGTTAGACAGACCCTATAGGTGATCTTTCCAGTCACCCTCCCACCACCCATCCGCCCTAGAGTATAAATGTTTTAACACAATAACTAAGTAAATGACACATTATGTTAACCAGTTTGATGAAAATATTTCAAATTGTATATGAAAACACTGCACTGTACCCCATGTTTGCATTAATGTACACAGCTATCATTTAATAAAAAAAAGAATTTGCAGAATAAAATAATTTTGCACTGTTAAAAAAAAACAATAAAAGAAAACCAGTCTTTGATTATCAAGGTTCTTGGGAACTCTGAGTAAAATAGGTCCTTTAGTGCCCAGAATGTGAGTCATCTCCATTTTCCATTCAGCTGCCATCACCTTCTCCATGTTAGCCACTTAGAGACCCCTTTTTGTTTTGTTTTGTTTTTTGTTTTTATTAAATCATAACTGTGTACATTGATGCATTTGTGGGGTTCAGTGTAGTGATTTGATATACAATGTGAAATGCTTACACTGAACTGGTTGACACATCCATCACAATTATACTCTTTTCTTAATACTTTTGAAATGTACTGTTGCATCATGCACATTAGGTGAGGTCTCCCCAAATACCCTCCCTCCTCCTTTCTCCCCTCTCTCCTCCCCTCTCTCTCCTCTTCCCTTCTACTTTCTGGACTATAGTTATGTTTTACCATTTGTATGAATGTGTAGGTGATTATATATTGATTTCATAGTAGTATTGAGTACACTGGATACTTTTTTTTCCATTCTTGAGATACTTTACTAAGAAGAATATGTTCCAGCT